GGGAAAGAATCCAGACTTGCAGATCTTTAAAATCCAAAGCCAGATCCTGTGCTTTCTTCTCAAGAGGAGGACTCTTCCTCCTCTCCTCCCAGCTTAAAGCCTTCCTTAGAATGAAAGAATGGATCCCATCTGCTTCCCCCTTTGTAGCCTGTTCATCCATCTGACCATTCTATGTGTGTGGGTGTCTGAGCCTCTGCTCACCTGTTCTCTACAGGCTGTTTGTTTGACCGCAGACTCTGCTCTCACCTCGAAGTTTGTATTCAGGGTGAGTGAGGCCCAAACATAGGATTTACAAAACAGGGTTGGGGGGGGGTGATATATAATAAGAAAGAAGTGGGGTGGGCTGGAAGGGAGAAGGGAAACTGGGCTTGGAGAGAAGGGGGACTGGACTGGAGGAGCAGAGCTCTCTGAAGCCAAGAGAGGAGATTGAGGGAGTGCTGTCTATTTGCAGCCTGGACTTTGGAAGGCCTGTTGTCCAAGCCCCCCCGCTGACACCACTTTTGTGCTCTTAGATGGCTTGTTTGGACAATGCCAGGTGGGAGTGGGGCAAGCCCGGCCCCTTTTGCAAGTCACCTCCCCAGTTCTTCAACGATTACAAGGTGTCCTCCGACAGCTCATGTCCCAAGGTGAGGTCTAGATGCGCTGGAGGAGGGAAACTGTAACTTGGTTAGATAAGGGTGGGGAAGGGAGGGGCCACGTGACTCCAGGATTTCTCTCATGGAACATTCCTATCACACCCACTCTGGAACCTCACCTTCCCAGACCTTCTGGAGAAGGAGGCAAGACAGGAGTGGGGGTGGAACCCTAGAGATAGGCTGTTCACACTTAGACTCTGGAGGAATCCAGAGGAGGCTTCTAGAAGACACCACTGGAAGAGGCCAGCATTTATATCTTTAGGACCAACCCACTCTCTGGAACTGACTGAGTACTCCAGGGCCATGACTCCTGGAGTCTTCAGCCAAGGAGAATACCCCACTCATCCAATTCACTCATTCAGCCAATATTTATTGGGTACTTGTACGTGGCAAACGTAGTTTTAGGTGCTTGGGATATATCAGGGAGTGAAACAGAGATCTCTGCCTACTGGGGTTTACATTCAGGGGTGAAGGGAGGGAATACACTAGAAATTAGAAAACATTAGTATGTTAGAAGGTGATAAGTGCCATGGAGAAAACAATTACAGCAGGATAAAGGGATCAGAAATGGTGAGGTAGGAAGCTGTGGTATTAAATTGAGTGGTCAAGATAGACCTTATTGAGACTGAAATTCAAATAAAGACATCAAGGAGGTGGGGATGCTTTTCCAGAAGGTTATCTCAGGGAAGAGTGTTTCGGGTGGCCAGGGAGCTAGATAGAATAAAAGCCCTAAGATAGGAGCCTGAGTTTGAGGAACACCATGGAGAACCCCTCTACAGAGTGGCTCTAAAGGAGTGATGGAGAGGCAGAGTAGAAGATGCAGTCAGGTAGGTAATGAGGGAAGGGATGCTCTGGGATTTTATATGAGAATGTATGGACATTGGCTTTACTCTGAGTAAAGGAGGAAACCATCACAAGGTTTGAGCATAGGGGAGCATGATCTCACTTCTACTTTAAAAAGATCACTCTTGCTGCTGTGTTGAGAATAGAATGTAGGGAGTCAACGGTAGAAACAGAAACACGAAACATTAAAAGCTATCACAGTAACTCATGTAAGAGATGAATAAGCATGGACCAGGGTGGTTGCAGGGAGCTAATGAGAAATGACAGAATTCTGCCTGTATTTTTAAGGTAGTGAGCATGATTTCATGAAATATTGGATAGGGCCATGAAAGAAAGGGAGTAGTCAAGGATGACACCTAGGTTTTATTGCCTGAACAGCTGGGTTGATGTACATGTCATTATTTATGCAGAAGGATCAACTTGGGGAAAGGGGTGTTCCGTTTTGAATACACTGAGTTTAAGATATCCATTCAATAACGTGGGAAGTTGAGTATATATAAGATTGGGTTTTAAAAAGGAGAGGTCCGGAGTGGAGATATGAATTTGGGATTCTTTGGCATATAGATGGTAATTAAACCCATGAGGTGAATGAAATAACCAAAAGATTGTGTGTTTATGAAGAAGAGCCCTAAAGAATTCTATTATTAAGAGGACCAGAAGAAGGAGCAGAACCAACAAGGGAGTCTGAGAAGGGAGCGCCAGCAAGGCAGGAGGAAAAACAAGCGTGTTTGGTGTCCTAGAAGCTAAGTGAAAGTGTATCGAGGAAGGAGTGATCAACAGTGTCAAATGATGGTGGTAGGTTAAGTAAGATGAGATCCGAGAATTGACCCTGGATTTAGATATGCAGAAGCCACTGGTGATCTTGATGAAAGCAGTTTTGGTAGAATAGTTGGGAATAAAATCCTGAATAGAGTGGTTAAGAGGGAATGGGAGGAAAAGAAGTGGATACAGCCAGTATAGATAACACTTTCAAAGAGTCTTGCTGCAAAGAAAAGCAAAGAAATGGGGTGATAGCTGGAGGGGACTGTGGGATCAAACAGTATTTTTATAAGATGGGAGAAACTGCATCGCGTTTGTATGTGAATGGGAATAATTCAGTAGGGAACAGGAGAAAATGATGATGTAGGAAATAGGGGAGAATAGTGGGGAAGATGTTCTTGAGTAGGTAGTAGGGGATGAAATCTAGTGCTCACGTAGAGGAAATGGCCTTATACAGGAACACAGATAGTTCATCTAATGTTAATAGGCAAAAAAGCAGGTATCGATCCCAGGATATGAGTTAAGAGCAGTACAGATTATTAATCCAGAAACAAGGAAAAAGGAATGGGGGTGGAGAGTGGGAGATTATCCCTTTAAAATAGATGACTGACCTTTCCTGAGAGCAGAGTTTCATGGAGGAAACCGGTCAAACAGGAGATCTGCCTCAGGGTAAGATGATGTTGATGAATGTTTAAAACAGGTGTATAGTGCTTTGGAGTTTTCCTAGCACTTTTATTTTCCTGATTGCACTTCATCTTTACTACAGACCCATAAAGTATATATTATTCTCACTTTACAAATAAAGAAAACTAAGGTTCAGGATCAAAAAAAGAAGCTGAGGGCTTCCCTGGTGGCGCGGTGGTTGAGAGTCCGCCTGCCGATGCAGGGGACGCGGGTTCGTGCCCTGGTCCGGGAAGATCCCACATGCTGCGGAGCAGCTGGGCCCGTGAGCCATGGCCGCTGAACCTGCGCGTCCGGAGCCTGTGCTCCGCAACGGGAGAGGCCGCAGCAGTGAGAGGCCCGCGTACCACAAAAAAAAAAAAAAAAAAGAAGCTGAATTATAATATTGATGATGATTATAATAATAGCACTTATTGAAAGCTCCCTATGTGTCAGGTACTATTCTAACCATTTTGTATTGTGTATTTTAATTATCGCAACAATTTTAGGAGGTATAAACCCCCATTTTTCAGATGAGAGAACTAAGGCTCAGATAGGTTCAGCTAAGGTTACACAATTAGTAAGTGGCAGAGGACTTAAACCCAGTCTCACTGGAAGCAGTCTCACTCCCAAATCTATACCTGAGTGTGGGAAAAGGACAGCTCAAATCACCCACCGCATCTCTAGACCCCCTCCGCTGTTCCTCTGCCCTGCCAAATTCAGTACACTGCTGGGTAGAGGGTGCAGTTTTGATCTACACTGGTCCCTGTTACTGGGCCCTCAGACTTTCCCAAGCCAATCTCAATCTCACCCTATTCTGTTCCCTGGCAGGACTGTCCTGGCACGATGACCTCACCCAGTATGTGATCTCCCAGGAAATGGAGCGCATCCCCAGGCTTCACCCTGCAGAGCCCCATCCAAGGGACAGGTAGGCATCATTTCTCATCAACTCTATCATAGCAAGGCTGGTGGATCTGTGGTCATCCTGATGGACAGAGGGAAATGGGTACAAAAATCAGCAGGCTGGGGCATGGGTAAAAGAGGTTCTGGAGTAGTCATCTGACATGCTCACGTGCCCAACACGAGCTGAGCTCATCCCTGGGGATCCAGCAAAAGAGGGCCATTAAAAACTGTTTTAGGGCTTCCCTGGTGGCGCAGTGGTTGAGAGTCCGCCTGCCGATGCAGGGGACACGGGTTCATGCCTCGGTCCGGGAGGATCCCACGTGCCACAGAGCAGCTGGGCCCGTGAGCCATGGCCGCTGGGCCTGCATGTCCGGATCCCGTGCTCCGCAGTGGGAGAGGCCACAGCGGTGAGAGGCCCGCGTACCACAAAACAAAAAGAAACTGTTTTGTTTTGTGGGTTTTTTGCCTAACAAAGTCTTTTTAAAATTTTTATTGAAGTATAATTGATTTACAGTGTTAAAAACTGCTTTGAAACATTTGGACATTTGGTATTTTGTTTTTGGTCTGGTCTGTCTTTTAATGAATTCATTTACTCAGCACAAAATACAGGGTTATACTATGTGCCAATCGCTGTGCTAATCTTTACGGATACAACGTAGTAGAACAAGACAAATTACTTTTTCTCTAGTGCTGACATAGGAAAGATACGTTAGCAAAGTTTCACCCACATCAGACTCAGATATGAAGCAGATAATGGTAGTACGTGAACTGATTTCTGGGATGCATCAGGAGATAGAGAGAGTGGAGAAGCTATAATAATTAATACTACATGGTATTGGCACAGACGTATATATAAGTACGTGTAAAATTATGTTCCTTTTTACAGTTTTTTAAAAATATACGTGTATCTATGCTTTTTCAAATTCTTTTCCATTTAGATTGTTTCATAATATTGAGCAGAGCTCCCTGTGCTATACAGTAGGTCCTTGTTGGTTATCTATTTTAAATATAGCAGTGTGTACAGGACATTTGGTCTCTTAAAAGAAGCATCAAAGTAGTCATCATGGAACAAATTAGAATTTTGTCGGGCTGAAGATGTTTAATGTTCAGTTTTGTTACTATGTGGAATTGTATATGGTAGGAGGTACCATCATCTTTTTGTGGTTAGGGCCTCTGAAGGCATCATTCAGACCCTGTAAAGCAGAGGAAAGTAAATGACGGCTTGGGGCTCAGATGATGATACCAGGTGAAGAAGGCAGAGTGGGGCAGGGGGAGCAGAGTGAGAGGGCACAGTACTGAGTGTTTGAATGCGTACTTGGGGACATGCCCACAGGGAGAGTGTGGCAAGCTGCAGACACAGTTCATCTAGAGCGG